CTCTTAAAATAGCAGAGAGGAGTGCAGACCATTTTGGAACTGTTTCTGCGTCCATGGTTGAGCCTGGCACAGACAAGCCGTGGTCCTGGCGTACCACTGCACTCTGTCTGTCTGTCTGTCTGGTTTGGAAACACCCGTGGAGAATCACCCTATAGGCCCGGGGACCACTGATGAAGTCGTCTCTAGTCTGTGTTGGAAGACCTGGCTACACGTGTAGGGTTAAACATATTCACTACTCAGGGTAAAAGGAGAAAATATAAAGGAGGCCCAAAGGGGAGTGTCGTGCTTACCGGTGTTTCTTCAGTTGTAAAAACCATCCACATGCCAAACAGGAAATGAGCGGGTGGTGGGCAGGGCCCCCCACTGCCTAGGGGCTATAGGGCATCGAGGCCAGCAAGGCCTCTGGAAGGTGACCTCAGGTGTCACAATGGCAGGACTTGGAGCAGCCATGAGGGAGAGGCTGGGAGGGGCTGGGGAGCCACACCCTGTTCTGTGTGTGCCAGGACAGGGCTGGCCAAGGATTTCTGTTGGACCCTGGTCTACCCAGCAGAGGAAAAACCACCTCACTAAACGGTAGCTACTGACTTGTGGCCCCCAGGGCATGGCTTCAGTCATGGGGGGCACTCCAGAAATCACACAATGTCTCCGAAAGAGGCAGCTAGGACCCCCCATCCCTTGTCCTGAGCTCGCAGTTTCCAGACACCTGCCTCTTGGGACACACTGCTAGGACTCCAGGGAACCCTGCTTACCTTGTGGGGCTGAGGCTGGGTGAAAAGACGGGCTCTGGGGGCAAGCTGGGGAGAGAAGGCTTGTGCCCCACAGAGGGTTAGTCTGCTCACCTTGGGGTCTTGGCCTCTGATCTTCACAAGGGAATGGTCCCTGCTCGCTCTGGGGTCCCAGCCTCTGCCCAGATTTGGTTTTGTGAGTGGAGCTCTTGGCTGCCCTTCTCAGGCAGGAGGCCCTAGGCCCTTGGGGAAGGGGCAGCCTCACCTCAGCTCTGAGAGCCTGAACCCAACCTCAAGGCAGGCTGCTCAGAGGGGCTGGTGCACAATAGCCTTCTCATGCTAGAAGGGGTTCAAGGTATTCTGCTTGGCAACTGCGAGGCCCTGGGCAGGAGGGAGGGGCAGGGAGGCAGGCCCAGGGTAAACTGCATCCAGTGGCTGGCAGCTCCCTGGGTAGGTCCTGAGATTCTGGTCCAAGCATCCTCTGTTGGGGTCTCCCTCGCAAAGTGCATGTAGGGGAGGACAGTCACAACACCCAGGCCTGTGCAGGCCAGTGACCTCGGGTGTGGGGCCCCTGGAGGCCGTCCAGTCGCTGAGGAAGGCCTGGGCTGCCTTGTGGTGTGCCAGGCAGGGGGTGACGGGGATGCCAGTGTTGCCCTCAAGCTGGGACAGGATCGCTGACCTGCCTGTGCAGAGATGGCTCACTGTCCTTGGTGTGCCGCCCGTGGACACCACGCTGAAGCAATCAGAGCAGTCACACTGCACATGCCGGCGAGACTTGGGGTGCCAGTTCTCGGTCATCACGACAAGCCCTGCCCAGCCATGCAGCAGGCAGCAGCAGGTCATGTGATCTCGTCCCCTTGCTTTCCCCAGCTCTTTGTGAGCAGCATTACGTGTCGACCAGCAGTCGGTTGGGCCTTCACGGGCTCCACCATGACCAGCCTCAATCTACACACTGCCAGCACATGCCTGGAGGATCCAGGGAGCAGTGCAGGACCCCGCAGATGGGCTGGAGGCCTGTGTGATGACCAGGGAAGCCCGGAGTGGTGGGGCTCCTGTGGTTGAAAGCACAGCACACCATGACTTTGAGGAACTTCTTAAGGGTGCTTGCTATGGGCCAGCAAGTGGCCCAAGCTCAGATGCTCCTGCTGCGGAAGGAGGCCCAGAACACCAGGGCGCACAGGTCCAGGAGGTGGCTGTCCACTGAGTCCACGCACTTGCTGCCCTCCAGGGATGCACGCTTCAGCATGGTAAGTGAGGTTCCCCCACGGGCCCACGGGCCAAACGGGGGAAGCAGCCCTGCACCTGCACCTCCTGCCAGTTCGAGTGCACCTTGCAAATGTCCACCTGGTCAAGTACCTGAGGAAGTCACTGTACTCCATCCAAAAGAGACCCTCACTGCTGCTCTACAGCATGAGCTCACCAAGCAGGTGCCCCGGCCAGTATGGCCACTCCTCTGACCAGCTGCAGCTCCAGGAGAAGTGGCCCCAGGGGTCATGGACACCCAGGATGGAGCAGGCATGGCAGGGGTGCAGGCAAGGCTCTTACAGGCAGCGTCGTCCATGCTGCATTGCACCCCCACATGAGGCGCCCGTGAGGAACCCGGTCTCCTTAGAATTCAGCATTTTGACCCAGATGAGGTCAGTGTCAATGGGGTCCTCAAGGGGGTTAGTGGAGCTGACCTGCAGCTCCAGGCTCTCACAGGGGCCACAGGTGAGTGTGGCCAGGCTTTTGATGGTGGGCCCTGCCTGGAGGTCAAAGAGAAGCCCTGCAGCTTGGCCAGTGCCTTTTTGATGAGGGCCACCCATAGCTGCTTCCTTCCGCAGGGCCTGTGGGAATAGGAGGAAGTTGGCCTTGCTGCAGGGCAGCATGTCATCCACCAGCACTGCCATCCATGTGCCGTCCTTGCAGAGCCACACACAGGCTGCGTGACCATCATCCACTCAACCAGGTCACATCGCTCGGCCAGCACCGCCAGAGCACTCAGGAGTCAGCAATTCCCCAGCAGCCTCTGCAATGTCTGAGGGTCGGAGTGTGGAGCACGGGCCAGGAGGAGCTGTGGTCCATGAGGACAGAGATGATCTTATGGGACCACAGCCAATGTCTCACATGCTGCGGGACACTGTCACCCACAGGGAAGCCCACAGACTTGGGCCAGGGCTGTGGCCAGGCTGCCATCCATGAAGTTGGCGCTGTTCTCCTGGCGGAAGGCCACAGTGTTCTACCAGAGGGCCTTGGTCTCACCCTCATCTGTCTGCCACCCCTTCTCCATGTGCATACTTTCCCTGTGCCTCAGGGATGCAATGCCCTGGTGCTGGGCCACCAGGAACTGGGGCATGCAGCCAGCGGCACAGTGCTTGGCCCGTGGCACCCCGAGCAGTGTGCAGGCAGCCAGGCCCATGGGCCTAGGTGCTTAGGTGGTAACTCAGGGGAGAGTCAGCAGGCCCTGTGGGTGGTGCAGAGGCTGAACTTGTCAGCACTGTAGTCAGGGCAGCCAGAGGGGGCGCTCACGGTGTTCCCGGAAGCCATGTACCTTGGAGGAGCCACACACCATGCACTTGGGAGTCTCTGTGGGGCTCTTGAGTGTGCACTTGGCACACGAGTGGGTGGTGAAGTCAGGGCTGGAGGGACTGGGATGTGGCAGGTGTGAAGTGAAACCTGTAGGACATGATTTTGAGGGCCAGGGCCTCAGGAGGAATTCTGCGCAGGGAGAGTTTCCAGGCACTGCAGACAGAGTAGGAGCTGGTCATGGGCTTATGAGGTGTGCAGTGGGGACAGGCCCAGCTGCTCCCAGGTCTGCCGCCCCCTCTTCCTCGGGTGCCCCGACTGGCTCCATGGCCACTAGTCCTTCTGTCCACGATGGATCCGCCGACTCCCTGCAGCTGCCCTTGGGCTCCACCAGGATGGTGGGCGGCTTGGGTAGGACCCCGCTGATGACTGACAGCAGGGAGGTGCTGGGCACAGGCTCCAGGGAAAAGCCACGGTCATCACAGGCCTCCCAACCCAGGAAGTTCCAGAATGTGCACCAGGGGCAAGGCCAGTTCTGCTTCTCAATGCTGACCCACAGGACCTGGTCCAGGTCAGGCTTGTGTGGGGTGCGGAGGAGTAGGGAGGCAGGAAGTGTCTCATAAAGCACAGGCACTGGCCGGCAGGGTACAGTGCGCACAGGCTCACTCCCACTCACAGACAAAGGCCTGGCAGTGTGGACGGCCAACCCACAACTTCTGCCACTTGCAGCACTGCCCGCCAGCCTCCTGTGCTGAGTGGCAGAGCTGCTGAACATGCAGACCCCGCTGGATCCAGCCGGTCGGTATCCTGGTATCCTGTGCCTGCACTGTGCCGCCTCCCTGGCATAGCGCCTGGCCTGAGCCGTGGCCACGGTGCATCCAGGGCTCACGCAGCGCCCCCATTGCACTCTTCACTGTCCGTCTCCTCTTCTCAATGGAGTGCGCTTCTCTTAGCCCTCCTCCTAGTGCAGGCAGCAGGACTGGCCATTCTGCACACACGTGGAGGAGCTCTGCGGGCAAGCCTGGGCCCTGGGGGCCAGCAGGAGGAGCACAAAGCTTCCAGGGCCGGAGTGCCCACCACTGAAGGCCCCGGGGGTCACCAGTGCTGGAGCAGAAGAAACAGCACAGGCAAAGGCATGCAAGTAGTGAAAGATCCAGATTTTTGGAATAGGGAGGGAAAGTGGAGCAGGGGAGAAGCTGACAGAAAAGCAAACGTTTGGTTGAGAAAAAGCTGCTGTTGTCTGGGTGGATCTGGTGGTTCCCCACCACCCACTGGGAAAAATGGGTTTGAACCAGTTTCTCATTCCGCAGGCTATTCGAGGATAGTCTCCAAGTGCAGCAGATAGATCCATGTGACACGTGTTTGAATAAACTGTCTTCATTTCATCAATATGTTTCTTAAACTCTCTTGGGAGAACATATGGAATAGTGGAAATGACAAGCTTGGGCATCCCACTCCTGGCTCTGCTTCTTTGGGCATGAAGAATAATGCCTGTCCGGTGTGGCTCAGTGGACTGAGCATCCATCCTCCCATGGACTGAGAGGGCCCAGTTTGATTCCCAGTGAGGGCACGTCCGATTGTGGCTTGATCCACAATAGGGGGTGTGCAGGAGGCAACTGATCAATGTTTATATCTTTCTCTCCCTTCCTCTCTCTAAAAAATATTTAAAAAAAATCATACTTGCACCTCAAAGGGTCACTGCACTGCCTACAGTTGTTGCCACAAGGCAGGCTGGCAGCCCCCCCGCCCTCCAGCTGGCCGGGTACGTACTTGGTCAGGGTCTGGAAGGCCTTCCGCATCCCAGTGCTGTGGAGGTGCAGTGCTGTCTGCTTCATGAGCTCTGTCAGTGGCTTGAAGAGGTGAACGTGGTACAGGATGGTGTCCAGGTCTGCGTAGAGGCGGTTTTGGAACAGCAGCTGAGAATTGTAGAGCACCTTGTATTTCCTGTGCTCTGATTTGGGAGTTCTGCAAGAGAAGCCCACAGCAGGGTCTCAGCACTGCTCTGCGGGCCTGTGCAACACTGCTGTTTTGTTCTGGCTGACAGAGCTTTTTTTTTTTTTTTCTTGGCTTGTTTAAAACCAGCCTCTTGCTGCTAGTGACCCACTGCCCCTCCCCCACCCTCTACCCTGGCACTCACTCCTGCATGCTGGCTATCCCAGCCTGGCAGTTTCTAAACACACCCTGCCACCCCACCTGTTGGTCACATGTTGTTCCCACACCTTGTTGACCTGGTGAAGGCTACATGACCCCGCATATACTGCTGGTGGATGTGTGTTTTGTCAAGTGGTTTCTTCTTCTATGAAGTATGTCTTCAAGTGTTTTGCACATTTTCCGTTGGTATGTTTTTATTGTTTTCTTATTGAGTCACAGGCATTTTATATGTTCCACATATTAGCTCCACACATTGCAAATACATCTTTTCTCTGTCTGTGGCTTGTGTTTTTATGATTTTTATGGTGCCTTAGGATGAGCAGAAGTTATTAATTTTAATGTAACCAAATCTATTATTATTTTTCTTTATTCTTTGCATCGTTTTTCTTTTTTATTAATTTATTTTTGTTACAGATGGTTCTCCTTTTTTCCCCATTGACACCCTCCTCCCCATTCCCCTCCCCCCAGCATAGCTGTCTATGTCCATTGGTTATGCATACATGCATATAAGTTCTGTGGTCTAACTCTTGCCTCCCCAACCCCCTCTTTTTTTTTTTTTTTATCATCCTCACCCAAGGACATTTTTCCATTTTTTGTTCAGGTAGAGTGTGAGGGAGAGAGAGGAACAGAGAGAGAGAGAAACATCGATGTGAAAGGGACACATTGAGTGGCTGCCACCCGCACAACCAACCAGGGCCAGGGACAAACTGCAACCGAGGTACGCGCCCTTAGCGGGAACCGAACCCGGGTCTCTCTGGACCGCAGGCCGATGCTCTAACCGCTGAGCCAAACTGGCCAGGGCCCAACCCCCTCTTTTGATGTTTGTCAGTCTGTACCCCACATCCATGTCTCTGGGTGGGTCCATTGTTTGTTTTGTTCATTACATTCCACAAATAAGTGAGATCATGTGACATTTGTCTTTCTCTGATTGGCTTACTTCGCCTAGCATAATACTCTCCAGGTCCCTCCATGTCATCTCAAAGGACAAGAAATCTTTCTTTCTTACAGCTGCATAGTATTCCATTATGTATATGTACCACAGCTTTTTTATTCACTCATCTATTTTTTTTTTTTTTTTTAATCCTCATCAGAGGACATTTTTCCATTTTTTGTACAGACAGTGTGGGAGGGAGAGAGAGGACGAGAGAGAGAGGGAAACATCGATGTGAAAGGGACACATTGAGTGGCTGCCACCCGTACGACCAACCAGGGCCGGGGACAAACTGCAACCGAGGCACATGCCCTCAGCGGGAACCGAACCCGGGTCTCTCCGGACCGCAGGCGGACGCTCCAACTGCTGAGCCAAACCGGCCAGGGCTATTCACTCATCTATTGATGGACACTTGGGTTGTTTCCAGATCTTAGCTATTGAAAATAGTGCTGCTATGAACATAGGGGTACATAAATTCTTTCTGATTAGTGTTTCAGGCTTCTTAGGATATATTCCTAAGAGTGGGATCACTGGATCAAATGGCAGTTCAATCTTTAATTTTTTGAGGAAACGCTATGTTGTTTTCCATAGTGGCTGCACCAGTCTGCATTCCCACCAGCAGTGCACTAGAGACCCTTTGTCTCCACACCCTCGCTAGCACTTGTTTGATGATTTGTTGATGGCAGCCATTCTGGCAGGTGTAAAGTAATACCTCATAGTCGTTTTAATTTGCATCTCTCTGATGATCAGTGATGTTGAGTGTTTTTTCATATGTCTCTTGGACATTTGTCCGTCCTGTTTGGAGAGGTGTCTGTTTAGGTCCTCTGCTCATTTTAATTGGATTCTTTGTCTTCCATTTGTTGAGTTTTATGAGTATTCTATATATTTTGGAGATTAACCCCTTACCTGATGTATCATTGGCAATTATGGTCTCCCATATAGTGGGTTACCTTTGCGTTTTGATGGTTGTTTCTTTTGCTGTGCAGAAACTTTTTAGTTTGATGTAGTCCCATGTGTTCATTTTTTTCCCTTTGTTTCTCTTGCCTTAGGTGTTGTATCAGTGAAAATTCTGCTGCGTGTGATGTCTAAAATTTTGTTGTCTACATTTTCATCCAGGGTTTTTATGGATTCACCAGTCACATTTAAGTCTTTTCTCCATTTTGAGTTTATTCTTGTATATGGTGTAACTTGGTGGTCTAACTTCATTTTTTTTTTTTTTTTGCATGTAGCTGTCCAATTTTCCCAACACCATTTATTAAAGAGGCTGTGTTTACTCCACTGTATGCTCTTGCTACCTTTGTCAAATATTGATTGAGCATAATGTTTTGGTTCAATTTCTGGGTTCTCTGTCCTGTTCCATTGATCTATATGCCTGTTCTGATGCTAGTACCAGGCTGTTTTGATTACAGTGGCTTCGTAGTATAACCTGATATCTGGTATTGTGATCCTTCCCCTACTTTGTTCTTCTTTTCCAAGATTGTTGTGGCTATTCAGGGTCTTTTTTGTTCCATAAAACCTTTTAGAGTATTTGATCTAGTTCCATGAAATATGACGTTGGTATTTTAATGGGTATTGCACTGAATCTATAGATTGCTTTGGGTAGAATGGACATTTTAATGATGTTGATTCTTCCAAACCATGAAACAAGGTATATGCTTCCACTTTTTTATATCTTCCTCTATGTCTTTTTTCAATGCCTTCTGAGAACAGGTCTTTCTTTGGTTAAGTTTATTCCTAGGTATCTTAGTTTTTTTGCTGCAATGGTAAATGGGATTTTTTTTTAGTTTCTCTTTTTGTTAGTTCATTGTTGGTGTACAAAAATGCTGTCGATTTCTTGATGTCAATTTTGTATCTTGCTACTTTGCCAAATTCATTTATTAGCTCTGGTAGGTTTTTGATGGAGTCTTTATGGTTTTCTATGTACAATATCATGTCATTTGCAAATAATGACAGTTTTACTTTCTCCTTTCCCATTTGGATCCCTTTTATTTTTCTTCTTGTCCGATTGCTGTGTCTAAGACTTCCAGTACTATATTAATAAGAATGGCGAAAGTGGGTATCCCTGTCTTGTTCTTGCTCTTAAAGAAAATGCTTTTGTATTTGCCTACTGAGTATGATGTTGGTTGCAGTTTTTTCATATATGGCCTTTATTATGTCAAGATGTGATCCATCTATGCCCACATTGCTAAGCATTTTTATCAGAAATGGGTGCTGGAATTTGTCGAATGCTTTCTCAGTATGTATTGATATGATCATATGATTTTTAGCTTTCATTTTGTTTATATGGTGTATCACATTTATTGATTTGTGAATACTGTATCAGCCTTGCATCCCTGGGATAAGTCCCACTTGGTCATGGTAAATAATTTTTTTATGTATTGCTGGATCTGATTTGCTAATATTTTGTTAAGGATTTTGGCATCTGTGTTCATCAGAGATATTGCCTGTACTTTTCTTTCTTTGTAGTGTCTTTATCCAGTTTTGGAATTAGGATTATGCTGTCCTCATAAAATGAGTTTGGAAGTGTTCTGTCTTCTTGGATTTTTTGGAATAGTTTGAGGAGAATGGGTGTTAGTTCTTCTTTAAATGTTCGGCAAAAGTCCTGGTGAAGCCATCCGGGCCTGGGCTTTTTTTTCCAGGGAATTTCTTGATTACATCTTCAATTTCCTTATTGTTATTGGTCTTTTCAAGTTTTCTATCTTTTGCAGGTTCAGTTTTGGGAGACTGTGTGCTTCTAGAAATTTGTCCAGTTTGCCTATATTGTCCGATTTGTTGGCGTATAATTGTTCATAATATTTTTTATTCATTCTTTGTATTTCTGTGATGTCAGTTGTTACTTCTCTTATTTCATTTCTGATTTTGTTTATTTGGATCCTCTCTTTTTGCTTCTTGTTGAGTCTGACTAAGGGTCCATCAATCTTGTTTATATTTTCAAAGAACCAGCTCTTTGAATTGTTTTTTTTAGTTTCTATGTTGTTTATTTCTTCTCTGACCTTAACTATTCCCTTCCTTCTGCTTCCTCTGGGTTTTTCTTTTTATTTGCTTTCCAGTTCTTTAAGTTGTGAGGTCAGATAGTCAATTAGAATTTTTTATTTTTATTTTTTGAGGTAGAACTGTAGTGCTATGAACTTCCCTCTCAGGACTGCTTTCGCTGTGCCCCATGGACTTTGTGTTGTTGTGTGTTCATTTTCATTAGTTTCCAGGAAGTTTTTAGTTTCTTCCTTGATCTCCTTGATAACCCATTTGTTGTTTAATAACATCTATTTAGCCTCCATGTGTTTGAATGTTTTTGCTGTAATTGATTTCTAGTTTAAAGGCATTGTATCTGAGAAGATGCTTGATATGATTTCAATCTTCTTGAACTTGTAGACTTAGTTTGTGTCCTAACATATGGTTTATCTTTGAGAATGTCCCATGTGTACTTGAGAAGAATGTGAATTCTGCAGTTTTGGTGTGTAATTCTCTGTAGATATGTATTAAATCCATTTGATCTATTGCATCATGTAGGGACTCTGTTTCCTGGTTAATTTTTTGTCTAGAAGTTCTATCCAGTGGTGTCAGAGTGGTGTTAAAGTCCCCTGTTATGATTGTATTGCTGTCTATTTCTCCTTTGAAGTACTCCAGACATTTTAAAATGGATTTTGGTGTTCCTATGTTGGGTGCATATATGTTTACCAAGGTTATATCCTCTTGTTGGATAGATCCTTTCAATATTATGTAGTGGTCTTCTTTGTCTCTAGTTATGGCCTTCATTTTGAAATCTATTTTATCAGATATGAATATTGCTACCCCAGCCTTTTTTCCCTTTTCCTTTCTTTTGAAAATTTTTTTCTATCCCTTCACTTTCAACATATGTGAGTCTTTTGTTGTGAGGTGGGTCTCT